TAAAATACTTTTATTTTGTACTTTCAGATAAATCCTCTGTCAAATTGTCCACCCTGAATACCCCATGCAGATGCTCCTGTTGTCTGTCAAACACAAGCAGAAACTTTCCAAAAATGGAAAGTTATCTTGGTCCCGCTCCCCACGTGAAAAACAGGGTAAGTTTAGTGCTGCTAATGTAATGAAAATGGCTAGTAGTGTTTTATTTAAATGGATATTTAGATAGTCAACTAAGAAACATAAAGTACTTGAAACGTACATTTTGGTAACAATTTTGAATATGATCATTTTCTTGAGCTTTAAACTTCTGGGGTCAAAATGATCACCAAGGATAGAGGGTGTAAAGCAAATGTGAAGATAAAGGAGGGTTAAGAATACATTATATAGCAGTTTTTTGTTTTACAATATCCTAAAGTCTATTTTTAACAAACTATTGAGTTGGCTTTTTCATTACATTTAAAATATTAATTGTACCTAAAATAATACGGAGTGAGCAGGGTATACATATTCACACCATATGCAATCATAGGATATTTTTAGTTCGAAAGATATTTGTCCAAATTGACTACAAAATAGTACAAATGCAAAACATAAAAAAAGAAAATGTTTGGTGAGTGAAGTCCAAAGCCGTATTATAGATTATTTGATTGTGTAATTACAAGGTGAGAGAAAATAAATCCACATTGTCCTATTAAACTTGTATTTTTCTCAGAAAAACCTTTTCTAAATTAAAGTAAATTATTTAAAAAGGTTGAATAGTTGAAATTGAACGTAAACTGTGTCAAACACCACTCCTGAAATTGACTTTGGTTGAAGTTTATTATAATATTGATATTATATAAAGATCTATATATATAACATTGATTAAGTCTTACGGGTCCCTTTTAAAATATATATATATTTTGTATAATGTTCTGGGCTGACAGTGCCTTATTTTCAATTTGAAAACACATGGCAATTTTATTAATACAGCAGATGAAAAGATTTTCAATTCTTCATGGGTGTCATTGGCTCTCTAGATAAAGGCAGTATCTGTTTGCTAACCTCAGATATTCATTTATTTAAATAAGTGACCTTTGAATACATATTGCAAACATAGCCTTAAAAAGGTGCAGGAAAAGGACTTGAAATATTACTTTAAGACTGGACTTTTTAATTCAGTCAAGAGAAGAGAAAAGAGAAGAAAGGAAAGAAAATTGTTATAAGGGGTTATTAATGAGAGACATAATATGGCTAGGGAGGCTGTGGCTGATCGTGCGTTGATCTTCGGATCAGGGGGGACTGGTTCAATCTCCACTGCAGTCAACATGTCGTTGTGTCCCTGGGCTTCACCCCAAATAGCTCCTGTGAGGATTGTCCACAGTATTGAGTGTATGTAAGTCGCTTTAAGGTAAAAGCAACTAACAAGTGACATGTAGAGGTCAGTGGCACTCAGACTCTACAGGGGTCATTTTTTGATCATGGGGCATCACCCCTGTACAGCATCAGGACAATATCTCTATGGAGTCAGACACTGAAAGTGTGCTGGAGGCTGATGCGTTGACTGGGACTGATGGAAAGATGAGGCTGATGAGACTGAAGAATCTGCGAGGAACGAACTAGGGGCAGATAAATAATCATATTTTAACCCTTTAATTGCCAGACCAAGAAGAAATCTATGGACAAATTATTTCTTTGCATTTTTTATCAAATAGGACAAATAACCACAAACCATTTTTATTTTTTTTACTGACCACACAGTTTTGTTTTTATGAGCCTCTACCAACTGGTCGAGCTGGCCTTGGCAAAAGTGCATTTTCAACAATCATCATATAGTACAGTATTTGTATGCATCAAACTCAAATAAAACACAAACACATTTTTTTCTTTTATGGAAGATGAGCAATATATACAACCAGATATATTCATAAAAAATAATAAATTATAATTGTAAAACAAAAAAGAAATGGAAAAAAGTAATGGAAAGTGTTTTTCATTATTGGCCTAACAACAAACAACTGGCCTAACAGCAAATGTCTATATCCTGTGTTGGCCTAACTTGCTCATGTGTGTGCAACTTTGGGCTGCATTTCATGCATGAAAGGTGCTATATAAATTATTATCGCTCTTTCACTCTGAGACTCATAAGGCAGTACTAGATTTAGTAATATTACCATGAATCTAGCCATTTATTTACCATATTTTATTGGAAAACATCTCTGAAACTCTGAAAAAGTCGTATTGCTAGTTTACAATATGAAGGCCAATTCGCCCGGTTGGTTGAGCATATTTTCAAAAAAATAATTACACCCTTGTTACAAAAATGTTTTGTGCATCAAGTTATCTAATTATGTTCAGTAAGTGCTCTGACACTAAAATATGTCAAAATTGATATGGTTACCTTACAAAAGTTGACCAAAAAGAGTGATTTCTTCAGGAGTGATTTTGAGCATGCCAACTTTCTCAGTGGAAGCTAGCTGAAGGGCTTTCTGTTCGAACCACAGTGACATCTAGAGGTTGTTTTGTGCATAACATGTCAACCAAACGATAGAGCTGGCTGAATCAGATGGAGTTACACTTCTTTATTTATTTTTCAACAAGATATCAAAACACAAAATGTGCTCTACCAAATGGTGGCGCTGGCTGTTAAAGGTTAAGACAGCATCATCATAAGAGGCCAACAAGAGTGACAGGGTGTGTCACTTTGCTGAAGGATAGACCAGCTATGCAGGATATTCTCTGAAGATTTCCCAAGGGGTAAAAGCTGCTGCTGGAGTACTGACTGGAAGTAGTGCTGATATCATGTCTACCATATCCTCTTAAAATACTCTGTCCAACAATATAAGTCGAATGACACATTTTTATTTAAGATGCATTCTTGTACTAAGGAGGGGAATTTGAAAAAGAATACCTGAAAAAGTACTTGGTGTAGTTAAATTAGTATACTGAGTCAAACAGTATCACTCTCCTTAAGAATTTATGGCAGAACATCATTTTATCTCTCATCAAAGATAGCAGAAAACATGCATTATTGTACTCGAGAGGGGAGTTTGACAGAGTACACAGTAAAAGTACTCTAAATAGTATTTATCAATCCTCAACCTCCAAGCTATTTTAATATAGATTTGAAGAAAAAAACCTCGATGCTGACTTGACCACGCAAACGGGAAATACGGCCGCATCAATTCAGCAGTGTCAGTAACATCAAACAGAGAGATACTCATACTTTATAAGATAGGGATTCATGACAGTGCAAGACAGACAGCCAGATAGACAGATCGCGAGACAGACAGACAGACCAACAGACGCGCACACACATACACACCCACACACGGACAGACTGTCTTCTGTATGTTTTGCATGTAGCCATATACAGTATTCAATGTATATTCGTGCAAACACGCACTGCACTGTCTAGGCAAAGAGTATGAACCTTTATTTTGAAGAGTACAGCGCAAGCATAGGGTAAACTAGCCAATCAGAAGCAAGGAGGCACTGGAGACCCACCCACCTATGGAAACAAAACATTGAGTGGTATACTTGTTTTAACAGTAACGGACCGTCCACACAGCAGCGTTAAAAAAATCTTGAAACGCTTCTGCCCATTCACTTCGCGTTACAAGATTTTTTTAACGCTGCTGTGTGGATGGTCCGTTAGAAACAGAAAAAGGAAAAAACGAGCTGAATTTCCGTTTTTTCGTTTTGGGGCAAAATTGAAAAACAAAAAAACGACCCGTTTCTGCTTCTTTTTTTTTTTCAATTAGAACTAAAAAACAAACGGTTAAAACGTACCTTGGTCCACCTTGAGTGCCATACCAAATATTCAATATATGTGTCCATGGAGATGAAAATAACATCTGGATTTCAATGTTTCTGAGAACCAAGCAAGGATGTTAAAACAGTGACATCATGTGGTAACTCTTTGCTACTACAAATGATACTTTCTGAATATTTTAAAGAGACATGTCACCCATTCCACCCTTTTCCAGGTTTAATACTTTATTTATGCTAGTACTTTATGCGTTTAAGACATGACATGCTGTTTGACCTGGATAGCATGACCTCCTGGAAAGGGTGACATTAAAAAATTGCTGTGAAAATTCTGACATTGGATATTTAAAATGCCCTGAAAGTGTGAAAACAAAACAAAAATGTACATATACACGTTACTTCTGCATATTTCTGTAAATAAATCTTTTAGAAAGTTCGATAAAGGATTTATATTGGAAATCTGTTGTGTCAGTGGATTTGTCTACACTACCAGCATTTCTGACACAGGAAACAGAAGATGTGGGATGTTGAAGTGATTCCAAGAAGGCCACCGAGGCTCTGTTTATTACTCTGTACCACCTCCTTTGTGCCCCCTTGGAGCTAACTCAGCTTATTGGATCACAATCAATATAGAGAGTATGAAAAGTGATGAAGGGCCTTATAGGATTCCTCTCTTTTCTTCATCCAATCATCCTTCCTGGCCAAAATACAATTTGCTGCCATTTCTGCACTGCCTCTTAACAAATCAGTGCGTACACCACAAGTCTGCTTCTGTTGGGGGTAAGGGTTCAATTCTCACAAGTACTTAAAGAGGCCCTATTATGCTTTGGGGGAGGGTTACCCCTTGCCTGTAGTGTGTTATATGGTATATAGGTTTTTGTGTTTGTAAATGGCTAAAATCTCAAAGTTCCCTCCAGAAGGAGTTTCTCCCCCCCTGCCTGAAACGCCTTCATTGGACTCTTTTGTGTACTTCCCTTACATAATGACAGCACTATGTAACACACGCCCTTCTATTGGCTAGCACTCACTCTTTTTTCAAATATTCACTTATGTAATATATACAAAAGGTAATGTAACCCCTCTCAAATACAGAAAGGATCGATGTGGTTTTTTTATTTTATTAGATTTATTTCGAATGTGTAAAACAATAATACAAACATTTAACATGAGAATTATTATACAATACAAAATTAAGCAGTGTCAAATTGATATTCAAAAATATTACTGATTCTAAGTTATGTATAAACAAATGATCTACTTAATTACACATCCGAAAAGGGGTGGGAAGAAGTTTACACTTATTTAATTTATTTGTATTCTACTCCTGCTTTATTGATTATCAATTAGAAAATAATTTCACATTTAGATGTTTATGAGGCACTGTACTTTCAAAAAACAAGTTCCTTCATCCAATTTAAAGATTAACATTAATTTCAAATGTGACTGAACCAAAGGGGGGCATCACAGGCTGGTGTTCCAGTTCAATCAGGGGAGAGCTCTGGATGACATGGCATACACCGGTCCTGCAGGTGGATCCTCTGTGATAAAGAAGTTCACAGGTTAATAGCGGGCTCTGGGGTAAATGATGGCGCTCATGCATTCATTCTTGATACTTTCTCTTTGAATGTCATAACCAGATTAGCTGTAGTGAGTCAGAGAGCACAACATGCTATACATATCTGCACTGCTGCTAAAAATTCATTTATGGTTTTCCTGTAAGATGCACCGAAGACATTTACAGAAAAACAGCTAATCTAAAACAATGCAGTATCATATTGCCTTCTAAGCTTTACTATTATAACTTGATTATTTATGTTCTGCCTTATTCTTGTTGAAAAGCAAAGAAATCCAAGCAATAAGAACCAATTTGATTGGATTTGACTTTATTTCTCACGCTGCCAACTGTGCGCTATATGAGAATAGTGCACAATAAGGATTTTACAGGACCTTAAGCCCTAAAAAATGTGTGAGTTGGCACACATCTGATCAAAGTCATCAAACTCATCATCATCCTCATCTACATGTTAGAAAAGAAAGTCATCTACTTGCCTTTAATAGGCTAAACTACTTATGTAATAACTCAAAGTAGGTTATCTCTGACCTGCAACACTGTACACTCCTTCATGATCAGCAGAGTACGTGAAGTCCTCATCTCCTAGGTTCTGATACCTGAGGAAAATCAAAGTCTTTGTATTAAGAATGCAGACAAAATAAAATATAAGTATAACTATTTTTAAAAAGTTTTAAAAGTCAGTTTATTTTGCAAATAATTATTTGTTATATGGTGATATACTAAGTATGACACAATAAATAATTACTTGCCATGAAAAAAATAACACGTAAAATATCATTTGTAATAATATGTTATGTTCTTACTCTTCGTCCTGCTCCATGCTGAAAGAGTCTATTTAATCGGAAAAAAGGACAAATAAAAAAAGTCATACATTAGTTTTTTGAATTGTGACTAATTAAGCCACTACTCTTCTTCAGGAGTTGTGATGATCACATGAATGCTTATAAAATCTTTAAAATGTTTTTGAAGACAAGTATGGAGGGCATTTTATCATTAAAGAGACCAGAAAGTAGCTACATTATGTTTTCTTTCTAAGTCATCATCATTTCATTACCATCTCTCCAGAGTCTGCCTTTACGGTAAGTCCATTTTCAACCTACCAAATTGTGCGTCCAGATCCTCTCCCTCTCTCTGCACCTGCCGTTCCTCCGTCATGTCCGCCTGCTGGTCCGCTACACTGTAAGGCAAGGCAAGGCAAGGCAAGTTTATTTATATAGCACCTTTCAACACAAGGCAATTCAAAGTGCTTTACAAAAATGGAAGACATTATGAAAATGGCATTTAAAATCAGTCATTAAAAAGAAAAGATAATAAAAGAAACATTAAAAGAAAAAATACATGGATAAAAGTTACAGTGCAGTTTAAGATGTGAATAGTTCAATTAAAAGCAGCGGCAAAAAGAAAAGTCTTCAGCCTGGATTTAAAAGTAGTAAGAGTTGCAGCGGACCTGCAGGTTTCTGGGAGTTTGTTCCAGATATTTGGAGCATAATAACTGAATGCTGCTTCTCCATGTTTAGTTCTGACTCTGGGGACAGAAAGCTGACCAGTCCCTGAAGACCTGTGAGTTCTGGATGGTTCATAATTTAGCAGTAGGTCAGACATGTATTTTGGGCCTAAACCATTCAAAGCTTTATAAACCAGCAACAATATTTTGAAATCTATTCTTTGACACACAGGAAGCCAGTGTAAGGACTTCAGAACAGGAGTGATGTGATCCACTTTCTTAGTGTTAGTGAGGACTCGAGCAGCGGCGTTCTGAATTAGCTGCAGCTTTCGAATAGATTTTTTAGTGAGGCCTGTAAAGACACCATTGCAGTAGTCTAGTCTACTGAAGATAAAAGCATGGACAAGTTTTTCCAAATCCTGCTGTGACATTAGTCTTTTAATCCTAGATATGTTCTTTAGGTGATAGTAGGCTGATTTAGTAACTGTTTTAATGTAACTGTTGAAACTCAGGTCAGAGTCCATGACTACACCTAGATTTCTGGCTTTATCTGTTGTTTTGAACATTGCAGACTGAAGCGCAGCGCTAACTTTTATACGTTCTGCCTTGGCTCCAAAAACCATTACCTCAGTTTTATCTTTGTTTAATTGGAGAAAGTTCTGACACATCCAGTCATTGATTTGTTCAATGCACTTACTCAGTGTTTGAATTGGAGCATAATCTCCTGGTGAAATTGTTACGTAAATTTGTGTGTCATCCGCATAGCTATGGTAACTTATTTTGTTGTTTTTCATTATCTGAGCCAGTGGTAGCATGTAGATGTTAAAGAGAAGAGGCCCCAAGATGGAGCCTTGAGGTACCCCACATGTCATATTTGTCAACTCAGATGTGTATTTACCTATAGAAACAAAACATTTTCTGTCCTTTAAGTAGGACTCAAACCAATTTAGAACTGTTGCCGAAAGTCCCACCCAGTTTTCTAGTCGGTCTAGTAATATGTTGTGGTCAACAGTGTCAAACGCAGCTGTAGGACAAACACTTGAATCAACTCAGAATGACAGATGAGCGGCTGAATTTAGGCGTGTATTCAGTATACTTAAATTCACTGTAAACATCAAGCATCTAAAACAATGTCTCCAAGCACAATCCACTAAACATAGTAATGAAAAATGATTTCTTACTCACCATGAGTTGGAAGCAAAGTAGCCTCCTGAGATAGGAACAAAAAAAACTTTATTTAAAGTAAAATAAAGCATTTTTACTGTATATGTTGAGGTTCTAACGATATAACAAGCTAGTGTCATACAGAATATAAGTTATATACTGTATGAATGCTAATAACAGATCTGTTGTTAAGCTGGTCAGACAATGATAGCTTTATACTGCAAACAATTAATGATTTGCATTTTGATTTCCTTCTGATGTACTGACCTTGTTTGTTGATCCACCACAGACACAGTCCCAGTAATATCATCAGGGCTATCACTCCAAAAGATGCAATCAACCTAAAGATCAAACTTTCTGGAAAGGAAAAACACACGATTTACTTTACTGTTTCAAAATATATGTTTTAACATTGGAGCCATCTAAAGCAAACATCCTTTTTACTGCATTTCTTTTTACCATAAGCAGCTGACATTCTCACCTTTGACCTCGACTAATACTGTGTTATTTCCATACAGTGTTTTCTCGCCCTCTTGGATGCATTTTGATGGCAGCACCACACAGCTGTAATGGCCCGAATCCCTCACCACGGCACCTTCGATGGTGAAATTCGCCTCCATCCCGGGGACATTAAATGCTTGCACTTGGAGGATGGTCTGATTTCTCATCAGGTAAGAGTGTATGAGCTGACATTCACCGAGTGTTTGCAGGGGGCCAGAAACGATACACCTGAACGCAACATCGTCTCCCTCGTGGACATCGGACGGCGCAGCTACTGAAATATCTGCAGGGAGAAAATTGGCTGTGCAACAGGAAGGACAAAATGAGTGGAGAGAAATAATGTTGACATGAAGCTTTCATAGGGATAAAAGTCCTTACATATAACCACAATCTCAATGGGCTCTCTTTTCTTGGTTACTTTGGTAGGCAAATCTCCCCTTGTGGAGTAGACACAGCTGTAGTTCCCACTGTGATGAAGACCCACTCTCTGTATGGTGAAGGTGGTATCATTTTGATCTTGCTTCTGTAGCTTTTTGTCGATCCAAAGGTCGCCCTTACATAAATAAACAGTAACCGAGATCTGTTTCTTTTTCCCAAACGCGCTGCAGGTCAAATAAAGGTCGCTGTTCTCGCTTATAGTTTTCTGCTGGGCCAGGATCTTCGCAGAAGAAATATCTGTAACATTGAGTTGAGTTGAAACAGAGACAGCATGGATTAGCGATACAATGCAAATCAATCATATTGAGAATGCAGCACACAGAGGGGAACATCTAAATGAAAGCTCACCATTAGTTTGGCTCGTGACCTGGTTTGCGAGAGCCCCTTCAATAAAAGACAAGTTACAAGTGAATCGTTGTACATGCATTCAAACGCTTACTCAATAATAACAACAAATGAAATCACTTGTAGATGTACTTACACAGAATAATGGTGATCATATTCATGATTTTAAGCAATGTGACACCTATAGTCTCCAGAACAACTTGTGAGACCCAGTAGAAGACAAAAAGGTATACACCCACAGACAAGTGAAAGAATAAACGTGCAGTAACTATAATGAGCCACTTCCTGTTCATTCTGTGGTGTCTTGAGACGCTTGGAAACGTTTTAATCCAAAATTAAACAGGTAAAAAGGGGTCAAACATTTCCGTCTCTTCTGTTCCATTTCATAGCCAGTTTTTGCAGGACATATTCATTTTGTACATCACACAGTATCTGTTTGGCTGATTTCCTGCCATCCTGCAGATCGGCCACATACAGGCTCTCAGTGAGCTTTAATTAAATTCATTAGCCAGGGGTTTCTTATCAGATGTAGCAGACAGCTAATACTGTCTGTCTGTGCTTCCCCGCCAGTATTCAATTAAATATGGGCTGAATTTTCTTGTAATTACATAGCTCGCCATCTGCGCTGATCTTTTTGGTATAGCCTAATAATAATCCAACAGTGACATCCTGTACTGAGAGCCCATCCAGTTATAGTCTTTTAGCACTGATACTCACAGTGTCTGTAGGAAATGGTGTATATTTGGTAGATTTATATGAAAAATGTGCATTTCACCCATTTCTGGAGCAACACTTTAGTGGCACTATAATGCTAATTTTAAGGTTCACATTTGTATTTTGTGCCTCTACTGTGACATGTCTCTATGCTTTAATGTTCAAAAGGTCTTTATTTTGCTCATACTGCCTGTGCAGAATCATCACCCTCTGTCTGAAACCACAGCCCAGTCTGCTCTGATTGGTTAGCTGGCCGACTGTTGTGATTGGTCAACCGCTTAGAGATGTCCCGCCCCAACACAATGTGTTGGAGCGCTAGCCAATAGAAGGGCGTGTGTTACATAGTGCTGTCATTATGTAAGGGAAGTACACAAAACCCTGGAAATGCCTTTTTCAACAGGAGTTCCTGCAGCGCTGAATGGAGCGCAAGACACTGTTCCTGGGATGACAGGATTGTTTCCTGTATCTCATGGAACTGTGGGGGGGGGGGTGCTGTAATGGTCGTCATGGTGACGAGCCACGCCATCGCCCTCGCCGCCGCTGCCCGTGAGGCGGAAGGGCTGCGATCCAAAAGATCAGCTGAGCAACAGGAGGAGGGGTTAGAAATACTCATTCCCAGAGGTGAAGCGGTTACGGTCAGTCTTGATTTGTGTGATGTAGTTATTTGTGGAGGGATGCAAGACGCAACAGGCCATGACGTCTATGGGTGTATTCATGCTTGGGGACGGCCAGATGATAACTCATGGTGTCCTGAATTTGCCCACAATGACCCACGAGGACAGCTGTGTATGTATAAACTCTATGACTAAAAATCCCCAGCAGATTGTGTCGACATTGCATCAGATGTATCCAGTCACAAAAGTTAATGATATTCCACCGGCTTTTACACCTTATCAGGGACTTTATGACTGCACTTGAGTTAGCAGACAACAGTGGAATAGAGAAAAACCTCCTAGGATATTTCTTAGATGGTCTGTTGGGTAAATATAAGACTCTGGTATTGAATGGGATGAGGGCTATGTCAGGAGTGATTTCAATACTAGTACTGTGTGGTTGTTGTTGCATTCCATGTATCCGCACCCTAGCAAACCGATGAAACTGTGATCACCACAGCCCTTTCCAGGGAACACGTTCAGGGTCAATTTCTCATGAGGGAACAGTTTCAAATGCTAACAGAACAAGAGGACCCACCCCCATATGCAAATCTTGTATTAAATGATGAGATGGTTTAAATTATGAGATGGTTTAAATGATGTCCAAATGATGAGATTGTTCAAATTATGAATTTATCTTTACACTTGGAAATACAGAATAAAAACTCTTATAAACAAAAAAAAGTATTTGAATGATACACTCAGCAAACGAGGCCTCAAATCTGCAGCTTTATCTCTGGCGGATCTGTCAGCCTGAATGTAGTTGGCCGAGTAGGACCATATCTATGCGGTAATCAAAGTATCTCAGTCTTAAAAATGTCAGATATGACCCATAACGACATGTTGATGTGCTTTGCCTCCTGCTTAGAGGGTACTTCCAGCATGGTTAGGGACGATTATGCTGGCCCATTTGTAAATAACAGGAATGAAGAGGAGCGCAGAGCCCAGGATCGACACCACGAGGAAGGCCCAAAGAAACACTCGATCCAGGACCTGGGCTACACATTTCCAGTCTCTAACCACCTGGAGTACGAGAGAAGCACATGTCAGTTTGTTTCAAATCAGTGAAAGTATTAAAGAGGCCCTATTATGCTTTTTGGGTTTTCCCCTTTCCTGTAGTGTGATATAGGTTTTTCTTCATGTAAATTATCTGCAAAGGTGAAAATCACAAAGTTCCCTGCAGAGGGGGACATGCGCTTCTGGCTATTGCTCAAACACATTGTAGGTTGATAGGCTAAGGAGCGGGACATCTCTAAGCGTTTGACCAATCACAACAGAGCCGGCCAGCTAACCAATCAGAGCAGACTGGGCTCTGATTTCAGACAGAGGGTGAAAAGAGGTTCTGCAGCACAGGCAGTATGAGAAAAATAAAGAGCTTTTATAACATTAATGCATGGAGACATGTCACAGAGGCACAACATACAAATGTGAACCTTAAAGGTAGGGTAGGTAAGTTTGAGAAACCGGCTCGAGATCGCTAGAATTTGAAAATACACAACCGGAGAAAATCTGCCACTTCCTTATAGAGCCCCTCCTCCAACACACACGAACGCGCACATGACCAATGAGGGCACGAGATAAGTTTGTGCACAGATGGAAGGCTGACAGGCAGGTAGGCCATCCAGTTATTTTAGCCGGGCCGGCTAAAATGATTGGTCGTACTTTTTACAGTATTACGGCTTCCACAGATGACATTTTTTTATGGATTTTTTGTCAAAGCACTTAAGATATTCATTGCTATCGGGATGTTAAGAGCATTCCATGGAATATAACAAAAAGTGTATCTCGAGCCGGTTTCTCAAACTTACCTACCCTACCTTTAACATTTGCATTATAAGGCCCCTTTAAAGATATGTGGTGCCATGCTTTTACTTACATTTTGCTCCAGTTATGGGTGAAATATATTTTCATATAAAGCTACCAAATATACACCATTTCCTACAGACACTGAGTATCAGTGCTAAAAGACTCTGGATGGGCTCTCAGTACAGGATGTCACTGTTTTTAGGCTATACCAAAAAGATCAGCGCAGATGGCGAGCTATGTAATTACAAGAAAATCCATCCCATATTTAATTGAATGCTGGCGGGGAAGCACAGACAGACAGTATTAGCTGTCTGCTACATCTGATAAGAAACCCCTGGCTAATGAATTTAATTAAAGCTCACTGAGAGCCTGTATGTGGCCGATCTGCAGGATGGCAGGAAATCAGCCAAACAGATACTGTGTGATGTACAAAATGAATATGTCCTGCAAAAACTGGCTATGAAATGGAACAGAAGAGACGGAAATCTTTGACCCCTTTTTACCTGATGGCGTTTAATTTGATTAAAACGTTTCCAAGCGTCTCAAGATACCACAGAATGAACAGGAAGTGGCTCATTATAGTTACTGCACATTTATTCTTTCACTTGTCTGTGGGTGTAGACCTTATTGTCTTCTACAGAATCTCACAAGTTGCTCTGGAGACTATAGGTGTCACATTGCTTAAAATCATGAATATGATCACCATTATTCTGTGTAAGTACATCTAAAAGTGATTTCATTTGTTTTTATTATTGAGTAAGCGTTTGCATGCATGTACAACGATTTACTTGTAACTTGTCTTTTATTGAAGGGGCTCTCGCAAACCAGGTCACGAGCCAAACTAATGGTGAGCTTTCATTTAGATGTTCCCCTCTGTGTGCTGCATTCTCAATATGATTGATTTGTATTGTATCGCTAATCCATACTGTCTCTGTTTCAACAATTCAATTACATTTAGTTACAGATATTTCTTCTGCGAATATCCTGGCCCAGCAGAAAACTATAAGCGAGAACAGCTACCTTGTTTTGACCTGCAGCACGTTTGGGAAAAAGAAACAGATCCAGGTTACTGTTTATTTATGTAAGGGCGACCTTTGGATCGAGAAAAAGCAACAGAAGCAAGATCGATATGAAACCACCTTCACCATACACAGAGTGGGTCTTCATCACAGTGGGAACTACAGCTGTGTCTACTCCACAAGGGACGATTTGCCTCCCAAAGTAACCAAGAAAAGAGAGCCCATTGAGATTGTGGTTATATGTAAGGACTTTTATCCCTATGAAAGCTTCATGTCAACGTTATTTCTCTCCACTCATTTTGTCCTTCCTGTTGCACAGCCAATTTTCTCCCTGCAGATATTTCAGTAGCTGCGCCGTCCGATGTCCACGAGGGAGACGATGTTGCGTTCAGGTGTATCGTTTCTGGCCCCCTGCAAACACTCGGTGAATGTCAGCTCATACACTCTTACTTGATGAGAAATGAGACCATCCTCCAAGTGCAAGCATTTAATGTCCCCGGGATGGAGGCGAATTTCATCATCGAAGGTGCCGTGGTGAGGGATTCGGGCCATTACAGCTGTGTGGTGCTGCCATCAAAATGCATCCAAGAGGGCGAGAAAACACTGTATGGAAATAATGCAGTATTAGTCGAGGTCAAAGGTGAGAATGTCAGCTGCTTATGGTAAAGAAATGCAGTAAAAAGGATGTTTGCTTTAGATGGCTCCAATGTTAAAACATATATTTTGAAACAGTAAAGTCCATGACGTGTGTTTTTCCTTTCCAGAAACTTTGATCTTTAGGTTGATTGCATCTTTTAGAGTGATAGCCCTGATGATATTACTGGGACTGGGACTGTGTCTGTGGTGGATCAACAAACAAGGTCAGTACATCAGAAGGAAATCAAAATGCAAATCCTTCATTTTTTGCAGTATAAAGCTATCATTGTCTGACCAGCTTAACAACAGATCTGTTATTAGTATTCATATATAACTTATATTCTGTATGACACTAGCTTGTTATCTCGTTATGAACCTCAACATACAGTACACATGCTTTATTTTACTTTCAAATTATGTTTATTTTTTCCTATTTCAGGAGGCTACTTTGATTACAAAATGTCCTCTAATTTGCAACGCCTCCATATTTGTCTTCAACATTTTTTTTAAGACTTTTACATGCAATCATGTGATCATACTAACTCCTGAAGAAGAATAGTAGCTCCAAATATTTTGTCAATTAGGTTATTAATGTCTTGTTGTCAAAGCACTATGACTTCTGTAAGAAAAGTGCTAAACAAATATATTATAAACAATTGTTGATCAGCATTACATTTACAAATATATAGTCACAATTAAAAAAAATTAGATAAACATTTGTATCACTCAGCAGGAGAAAGAGTAAGAACATAACATATTTTAATACTAATTATATATTACGTGTTATTTTTGGTGGCAAGTAATAATTTATCGTGTCATACTTTAGCGGTTTAGTACCACCACATAACAAATAATGATTTGCAAAATAAACAGACTTTTCTTTTTTTAAATACTACTATTTTCCTCAGGTATCAGAACCTAGGAGATGAGGACTTCACGTACTCTGCTGATCATGAAGGAGTGTACAGTGTTGCAGGTCAGAGATAACCTACTTTGAGTTATTATACAAGTAGCTTAGCCCATTAAAGGCAAGTAGATGACTGTTTTCTAACATGTAGATGAGGATGATGAGTTCGATGACTTTGATCAGATGTGTGCCAACTCACACATTTTTAGGGCTTAAGGTCCTGTCAAATCCTTATTGTGCACTATTCTCATATAGCGCACAGTTGGCAGCGTGAGAAATAAAGTCAAATCCAATCAAATTGGTTGTTATTGCTTGGATTTCTTTGCTTTACTAACAATGCTCAAGAACAAGGCAGAAAATAAATAATCAAGTTATAATAGTAAAGCTTAGAAGGCAATATGATACTGCATTGTTTTAGATTAGCTGTTTTTCTGTAAATATCTTCGGTGCATCTTACAGGAAAACCACAAATGAATTTTTAGTAGCAGTGCAGATATGTATAGCATGTTGTGCTCTCTGACTCACTACAGCTAATCTGGTTATGACATTCAAAGAGAAAGTGTCAAGAATGAATGCATGAGTGTGTGAGGAAGCGCACACACTCCCTCACTAACATGTTGGCTTAACTATTTGTTTGTTAAGAAAGGTAGTACATGTTTTCATCACAGTTGTCTTTATTTCAGTTAAAGTTATAAAAACAGTTTACATAGAAAAACTAATAACATGCATCTAAATGAATTTGTCAGTCTGTAAAACACACAATCACAAAGTAATCACCATTTCCTTTGTTCAGACCTGGAAGCCATCTTGTGCCAGTGCTCAAAGGGGGAGCACGCCTCCAAAGTACTCCTTATATGTGCCGTATGAGTAGGTGGAGTCTTGGACGTGATTGGTCAGGAAATGTGTGATTTTATGAGTGTCAATTAGGTTAAAAACTATCCGTATTAAGCAGACCTTGCTGTTTTTGAAGGTACAATGTTTATGTTGATGCAATTACGAATTTACTTAAGCCTTTAGGATTTTATTAAATGTAGACAACAGTATTTAATTTTGTATTTAACCCTTCACTCCGCTTTCAGAACCATGACCTGATTGGCCAGGTTGGATTGGGAAGGCGGGCAGTCTCCTATAAATGTGGTTGGGAAGAGGGGGGAAGGGGGCTTTTTGGTGTTTGTTCCTTGCTGGTGAACGCAGCACCAGGCATGCAGTTTTTGTTTCTGTGGAATAATGTGGAAGGCTAAGAATAAAATGCCTGTTTATTTTTGCAAAAAAAACCTCTCTCTCGTATCGTTCTTTCACCTGCACCTCACTTTGTAACAGAGCGCCATCATTTACCACAAATTACTATTAAGTAAGGATCCACCTGCAGGACCAGTGTATGCATGTCATTCAGAGAGGAAAGAAGAAATCCACATCTCCCCTGATTGAAACACCAGCCTGTGATGCCCCCCTTTGGTTCAGTCACATTTGAAATAAATGTTAATCTTTAAATTGGATGAAGGAGCTCGTTTTTTAAAGTACAGTGCCTCATAAACATCTGAATGCGAAATTATTAGAATCAGTAATATTTTTGTATATCAATGTGACACTGCTTAATTTTGTATTGTATAATAATTATCATGTTAAATGTTTGTATTGTTTTGCACATTCAAAATAAATCAAATCAAATCAAATCAAAAACCACATCGATCCTTTCTGTATTTGAGAGGGGTTACATTACCTTTTGTATATATTACATAAGTGAATATTTGAAAAAAGTGAGTGTTCATGCCATTTTGTACAATCAGTGTCTTATAAAGTGTACAACAGTTTGTTAATAATAATAAAGATTGCAGCTGGTGTAAATTGTGTTGATTGAGATGATTAAACATTTTACAAAAAGAAATCTTTGCATATTTGTTTATACAAGGGGTATCACAACATACCGGTATACTGACGATAACTGTGATATTTAGACCTTTCATTATTGGCATCATAGTAATACATACATGATAACGCATGTTTATTAACATACATAACTATTCTATTTTAGAAAAAATATGTGGTATATCTTGAAAATAATCATGAAAAGAGATACGCTAATAGATAGAGAGAAAAATAGAAAAAAGAGACAAAATGCTAAATAAACAAAAATAAAAATTACTTGACTGATAACATTATTATTATTTATCTTTTTATGTATCTTTTTTTCAATGTATTTATTTATTTAATATCCACAAATTAATTATTTTGGCCAGACGTGGTTAATGATGACATTTAATACCAATCTGTCTTTGTTTTCTCATTTAGTATTGATTCAACACTGTCAAATCATTAATATACAAGCTGTCTGCATCCCCCTTTACCAGTGTCCCCTCATGAAAGTTCAACCAAAGAGGGCCTGACATTATCTGATAAGAAACGTACTCCATCTGCTGCAGTGACTGTAATGACAAACCCTGTTCTTCATGAGCTACCAATTAAGAGAAGCATCCAATATATGTGTCACTGCTGCTTTCCTCCCCTCTCTCATCACTGCTGCGGCTCCTGTGGGAAATACAACGGAGCCGCTGACAGAAAGAATCCAGTTACAGCTTGATCATCAGAGCAGCAGTGTGTGCATTGCTGTAAATATTCAATTACTTTACATGATAGTGGCTTTCACTGTATGGCACTATTTTTCACTTTTAATTTGAACCATGTGAGGCCACATACTAGGGCATTTACGTATACTGTGACTGTATTTGCGGCCTGTATGGAAAGCAATTTTCTAAACAGATTGCAAATGTGTCAGTTAACTAATCAAGAGCATTTGGAACTGCTTGCTGTGCCTGCTAAACCTGAATATGGATTGTGTCACAGTGTTTTTTTCACCCGTATCTGTGTTGGAAGGGGTTGACCTATTCTCATTGTTACACAGCTTTGTAAAAAAGCCTTACACAACCAGCCTTTATCCAGCATTGAAAACTAACACCATATTCCTGTTATACTGTGAAGGCTTACAAATGCAACCCAACCATAATTCCCCTGCTGCAAGGGTAGCTGGTGGACACTCAATATATGTTAAGTTGTTGTTGTTGCTTTTTCAGGTAATAAAGATTTGTAAACATAATGATGTATAATATGATTGTACAAAAAACAGGACAGAGTTCAGTGGGTTCTCATTTTTTACTTGTTTTCCTTTTCAAGCTCTTCTTACGACATACAAATCTTACAAACACAAGAGGGAGAAGAGCAATCGCTGCAACAGTAGCCAGAAAAGACAGTAGTATATCTACAGAGTGGTAGGAATACCAGGGCAGTCTGTAGGACTCTGTTCTCAGGTGAGCTGCACCTTTGTGTCTCATGACAAACTCTATCCAGAAGAGGGCGGTGTCCAGCGGCTTCATTGGCTGATCTCTGTGCAGCCTGGAGAGTCTCTGCATGTTCAACCTGTAGGAGGGCTCATTCAGGACTTCCTGGATGGCATCCTGAAAGTTGTTGTCTTTGTCCACTGTCGCTAGTGTAAGAATCTTAGCTGCTCCTCTCTCCTTTAGACGCAGCAGGTTGTCGTATTGGTCAAAAAACAGAGGTATACCAACAACTGGGACACTGTGATAAATAGCCTCTTGAACACCATTTGTTCCTCCGTGAGCCACAAACAGTTTTATCTTGGGATGTCCTAAAAGGTCATTCTGAGGCATCCAGTCTACTATTAAAGTGTTGTTGCCCAGAGTGGTTGGTCTGTCACCTTTATGTCTCCAGATGACTTTCTGGGGTAATTTAGCAAACGTTGCAGCAATCTCATTTGTCATATCAGCAGGAAGTTCACTTACAAAGGTCCCCAGAGACATGATGATGACCCCATGCTCTCCAGAACTCTGCACAAACTCCTCCAGGTGCTCAGGGAGAGGTTTTGCTGGTTTGCACTGGAACCCTCCAATATAGACAACATTAGGCATGGTGGGACGAGGAAACTCAAACACAAAGTCCACTCTCATCAGCCACAGGTCTGCTCCCTGTAATAAATCATTATACCGGACTTCTGTGTCAAAGAACTTATCACAAACAGCTTGATACTGAGGGCGGATAAAAAATTCATCCTGAGCTTGCCAAATGAGAGAGAAAAGGAAGTTCTTGACTCTTTGAAAGAAGGTCATTTTGTCTGACAGTCCTGAGCCAGTCAACGGGACATAAGATAAAGGAGACGGTGCAATGGCCCTATGTCCCTCTCCACTAGTTATCCACCGCACATTATAGACCAGAGGCAGCTTAAGAGCATGAGCCAACAATATACCAGCACCCCACGCCGGGTCAGTAAGCACCAAGTCATACTTACTCTCCTTCAAACTATTCATTAAGTCCTTATCTTTAAACATGCCAGTAGCCATTTTGCACATTATTCTATGCATGTTAAACATCGCAGCAAACATCTCCGCCTGCAAGCTTGCAAAGCTCAAAACTGAGCTCCCTTCTCTTTCTATAGCAAAGATCTTCTTCAGGATCTCGTTGATGAAGTCATTATTAAAGGCCTCAGTGACAGGAACGGTGATTGTGTTGAAGTGCGGAGAGTCATCCTGGATGTACCAGCTTGTATTGGTCCGCACCACATCGACAGAGTGTCCTCGAGAGTGGAGAGCTTCGATCATGATGTCCATGTTAACCCAGTGGCTACCTTCCAAAGGAACGATCAAAATCTTCCCTCCGTGACACATTCTCCATGACAAGCACACGAAGGATAATAGGAGAAGACATGTTGCATTTCTGTAAAGGGGCATATTTAACCTGAACATGAGAAACAGATAAAGACATAATTATTAAGCACTCTTGATAGGAAATCTAGCCTTAAATGCTACAAACATATACTTAAATAAAGTACTTTTACATCAAACATTTCCCATTAAAATACATGCAAGATTGATCTGTAACATACCTGTTTACATGAAGTAACTCCGGGTAGCAGGCGCTAAGATGTTTGTGTGAAACGCCAAAGGAAACACTCAATACAAAACTAGAAATTCCATGAAAGCTTATATAAGTGGATTATGGATAATCTTTTCTTTGGGCTTTTCTTCAGGGATGGACAACAATGTGGCCTCTTTGTTGCTTAGAAATGTGTTAAAGCTACTTATTTGTACCTCCTCGAGTGAATTCTGTTCTGAAGTAGCCTTCAGTATTTCTTATTTATAGTCAATAACATGTTCTTTTTATAGGAGGATTTTCAAGAGGGTGCTCATACCAACTAATAACATGTAGCTTTTGATCTTCCAGGAAAGAGCAAAGGGGATCCAAATACTTGTGTCTTGTTCAGATAAAAATGTCTTCAAAGACAATACTAATGATAACCATGTACCTTTGTATCACTGTTTTTACTGTAAGGATCCCAGACTAATCCAACTTTTGTGTAGATTTAGTTGCATTGGATGCATCACATGTTTTGGATTGGATTTCAGATTTCTATGTTTTTTTACCATTTTGAATTCCATGCAAAATAATTGTACCTTTTATAGTTGAAGGTAGAGTGGTGTTTTGTCGACAGCTATGAAGATCTTTTGAGCAGTTTAGAAAAATGCACTTTCTTCAGGACCAGTTTAAACTGTCTTGTCCATCTTTGTTTGTTTGAAAACAACAAAAACATTGTATTTACAGTCTCTATATTTGCAATCATGTTTTTGTTGATAAGATAAGATAAGATGGACCTTTATTAATCCCTGTGGGGAAATTCAGTTGTACAAAGCAGCAACAGGGTAAGCGTGAAAAACAGGACAGCAAAGATTCACAGATTAATAAAATAAAAAATAAAATCAAGAATTTTTTTTAAATAAT